AGCTTTGGCTTATTTACTTGATTTGTAGGAATCGTAGAAAAGCTGGAAAATCTTCTGATGTTCCTGTTTGTAACGAGGAGAAGAATCGGATTTCTTCACCTGAAATGGTTAGGATGAAGCACTCGGATATATCATATCACCAGGCCAGTCCGCGCGATGAGAATGGAACTACTCATCTTAGTCAGGTTCCCACTGTGGCTGGTCCTGCTCAACTGGTTGGTAACACGAGTCCGTTGCAGAAGATTGAAAGTAAAACACTTGTTCCATCAGTTCAGAAGAAGCCAGGTAATGTGGGTCTTGAGGATGTCAAGGTTTCTAGAAAGCAGATTTCTAAAACTGAGGTAGATTTTGAGGAAGTCTTTGGTCGTAATGGAGGCAGTACACGCGATAACTTCCCGTGCAAGACCGATTCTAATGTTGAACATCGGGATGTGAAACCACCTTCAAGTTTGCAGCCTACATTCATTGGTGAAAATGGAGCTTCTGAAAGATTAAAAAGTTCAAAGTCAGGGCTTTCCGAAAGGTTTCAAAATGGAGGCAGTACACGCGATAACTTCCCGAGCAACACTGATTCTAATGCTGAACATCGGTATGTGAAACCGCCTTCAATCTTGCAACCTACATTCATTGGTGAAAATGGAGCAACTGAAAGATTAACCAGTTCAAAGTCAGGGCTTTCGGAAAGTTTTCAAACTGAAGAAGCTGATTCTCCAGGTTCACCTACATACTTTGATGCTGAAACAGATGTAAATTCGGCTGCAGCTGAGTCTTCTGCGGCATTGAAAAAGGCTATAGATGAGGCTCAGCTAAGAATGAATATTGCAAAACAAATGATGGAAAGGAAAAAGTCAGGCTTTCGCAGTAGTGTAAAACTGAAATCTTGTGCTGACCCTGAAGTTGAGAATAAAGTGGACAAAAAAGTTGAAGGAATTACAGAAGAAAGCAGAGACAACAGTTCTCAAATCCTTAGTGAATTGGTGAACACTTCCGAACAATCATTTTCAAACGAAGGAGATCAGCATGCAAAAAGAGCACGGAAGCAGTGGGAAGTTCCTGAAGGACTTTTACAATCAAATTCAGACCATAAGCGGGAAGAGGTAGAAGAGCAAGAAGCGGTAGAGCTAGAAGAGGAACAAGCAAGAAGAGGTCGAAAACACTGGGAATTACCTGGAGAGATATTCAAATCAGTTTTGAATAGTAAGCAGCAGGAGCCAGAAAACCTTGTACCAGCCAAACCTGAAACTGATACGAAACAAGAGGTGCAATCAACTGAGAATCCCTTCTATACATTTGGGCAGCTTGGTAGTAAATTAAAATATGTTGTAGAGGCCTTCACGGGGAGTAAGGTTTCACAAAAGGATGAGACAGAGGTAAAGGAGAAGGGAAATTCTACACTCACTCATATGTTTCAAGATGTTGAAAGTGACTCACAAGAGATGCTAGCTGGTATTCCAGTCATGGAAACAATATTAAGGGATGTGGAAGAGACCCTGCAACAAACTGAGAGTAAGAATGAAATTAAAATAGATGAGAACTCTGAATCTACATTGTGTACTTTCACAGAAGGGTTTTCTCATAAGATGGAGGAAGAAACAGGATGGGAAGTTAAAGGCACTTGTGAGTCCGAAGGTGGACCTGTGTGTGGCGTAAAAGATGTCCAACAAAATCCCGACTCAACTTACAATTTTCTAGATCAGGAAGGCGAGAAGGAGATAGTCTCTGGGACACAGGAGATGTTTGTTGGTCCTGATGATAACATTTCATGTGTAAGGGAAGTGGAAGAGATCCCAACACCTTCTCAGAGTTTGAGTAAAACTCAATTTGATGATAGTGTTGGAACTATTGTGTCTTTCCACACAGGAAATGCCTCTGAGCCAGGAAACATTCACGAGGAGAAAGAGACGGAGCACAAGGCTCCCAGGCGAAGAAGAGTTTGGCAGACATCTGAAAACGTCTATAATATGATTAAGGCTCCAAGGGGAAACAACAGACCCTGGCAGCTAGAAAGTGCCGAAAAAGAAACCACAGAGAGGTCTTTTCAAGTGGAAGGTGTAAGGATTCATGATGCTAGTGAGGAAACAGAAAGCACATCTGGACAAGCTAGTGATTCAGGATTGCAAGAAAATTGGACCGTTCTTAAACAGATGTTTAGGCAGATGTTTCAGACAACTGATACTAAGGGAGATGATGAAACTTATTGCTTAGTGGAATCTGAAAAGGATCGTATTGATATCCATCAAAAAGCTGGAGATGAGAATGGAAAAGAAACTGCAGAGACTTCTTACTGTCAGATGAATGGTACAGATAACTATGAACATAATGAAGCTGAGACGGTAGAGACAGAGTATGAAGCATATGCACATATCAGAGAAAATGAACACTTGGAGCCGGCACAAGAAACCTATTGTAGAAAAGAGGACGGTAAGGTAGAAGTGCAAGGTAGAACATCTTTGGTTCGTGAACTGATAGGAGAAGAATTAGAGTCCATTGGAATGGCTAGCGACCAAGAAGGTGAAGATGTACAAGAAGCATGTGAACAAGCTGGCTGGGCTCAAGGACTTCCTGAACTTGATGAGATAAAGGAGCATGCAGATTCTCGTGCTGACTTTCTTGAATATGATCAAAGTGAAACGGACTCAAATATATCTGGCGAAAAATTTGAGCAAACTCGGGAAGTAGCAAGCGAAACCAAGATCGACGGTAGTATAGATACTGACACCAGCAGGTCATCTTTTGAAATGAGACAAGGTGATTCATATATTGAGGAGGTTGGCGTCGAGCAAGATCTCAGTGATCAATTCCATGAAAAAGACAGTGCTGCCAGCAGCACGGAAGAGATAGATTCTGATTCAATTCAAAGTGGTTGGAGTGTTGTAGAGGATGAAGACAAAATCAAGGCTTATGTGGAGGAAAGTTTGGCTGGCCATCTGCAGGATGGAGGAGCAGGTAAGCCTGAAGAAATGGATGAAACCAAAGAAGCAACTGATGAAATGAAAACCAGCCTTGGTGTAGAGAACAATGAAGATAAGACAGATCAAGAGCACCGGTTTGAGTGCCAAAAGGAGGATATAGATAGAAGCAATGTAGAGCCAGCTGAGCCTTCCTGTTGTTTTCCCGAAGGAGACGAAAAGATTGGCGCATCAGCAGATAGAAACATGAAAGACAATGAGAGTTGTCGATCGTCTATGGAAGACGAGGGAGATGCTACTTCTGATGCTTCACAAAACGAAGCAGAGCGAGTTGCGAAACATCT